CGAATAAAAATATTGTGTTATGTATATTAATTGACCCATTTTATTATAAAATTGATTTAATTAAAAAATTAATAAATATATAAAAAGAAATAAATAAATGGAGTGCCATGTAGTACCTCCATTAACGTTATTTTCTTATAAAATATATATAAAATTAAATAGATAATATATATATATATATATATATATATATATATTATAGAGTAGCTTGGGTAGAGCATGTAAATTTACTTCTGACTCATCATGTTTTTCTGCGAAAAACAAACATGACTTGATTTAATACCAAGACCTATTGGATATTTTTTTTCCAAACAAAAATGTTATGGCATAAATATTTTTTTTGCCATCTCTATTCACTATTTTTTTTTTTAATTTCTAACTAAAAAAATTATGAAAAGTAAAAATCCCAAATAGGGGTGATACATGACATCTAAATTGACCTCCTATTATTACAAAATATATCTAATGAAAAAATAAAAATTTAAAACAAAAAATTGTAAAAAACTCAAAAAAAAAAAAAGAGTTCATAGAATGTACCACATAAACACCCTTATTGAGTTTAAAATATTAATTTTTAAAATTAAAATGTTAAATAATAATTTAATTAATATAATACATATATAGATATAAAATTAAATTAATAATAAGATCTATCATTTTATATATACCCTTAATAAATTATAATAAAGCACCTTAAATATGCTTTAGCTTCAATCTTGTATCTTATATAAAAAAAAGTGATCCATCCCAATTTGACATCAATTTAAAAAAAATCATCTCCTATCAAATTCAGATGAATTGAAACTTGTCATATACATATTGTTTTCGCAACTCTATCAATTAAAACTTTTTGTTATAAAATTTATCTAATTAAAAATATAAAAAAAATGAAATAAGAAAAAAGACAAATGTGATACTATGTAGATATCTCCATTATCCTATTTTTATAACAAAATTAATTTAATACAAAAAGAATAAAAAAGGAAAAAGGAAAAAAAGATTAAAAAAAAGAAGAAGAAGTGAGTTTATTGTGATTAGGTGAACATACCAATTGAGTACAAAATATCAAAATTTAAATTAAAATATTAAATAATAATTTGATTAGTTGCAAAATATAAATAATAAATAATAAAAAATAAATAAAGTGTTACGTGTAGACATCCATTTTTTTTTACCAAAAAATGATCTTAATTAAAAAAAAGAGAAAAAAGCTAAAAATGGGAAAAAGAAAAGATGAAAAGCAAAAAAAAAGTTGAGTTATCATACGACAATTGTACTGATAGATTTTTTTTTTTTGGAAAAATTCTTCTCTTTGATTTTAAGAAATAAAAAGAAAAATTAAAAAAATTGAAACAAGAAAAAAAAAAATCTGGTTGTGACATTGACAACTCCACCAATATTTTTTTTAAAGTAATCAAATTTAAAAAAATAACAAAAAATGAAAATATATATTCTAAATAATCATATCAAATGGGCTCCATACTAAAAATTTTAAAATATTTTTAAAAATTATTAAATATTTTTTATAAAAAGGAAAAGTAAATAGCAAAAAAAAAAAAACAAAAAACAAAAAAAACAATCAATCATCTTAATACTTGGCATGCTTTTGATATTAATTGAGTCTCCCAAAAAATAAAATATAAAAATCATTTATTAAATATATTAAAAATAAAAATAAAAAGTAAATAAATAAAAAAACAGATATATAACATATCATTGGTATCAAATGGGTTATACAAAAAATAAATTCTAAGAAAAAGTAAAAAAAATGTAAATAAGAGAAAAAAAATTGATATAAGTAGATCTCACACATAAAAAAATAAAATATTTAAAATTATATTTTATAATTTTAAAAAATATTTATTAAATATTTTAAAAGAAAAAATTTAAAAAACTTTAAAATGACACGTGGCACCTTTTAGAGTTTGATAATGTTGGCCATACCTTATCAAAATTTAAATGTTAGATTTGGCAAAGTTATTACTTATATATATATATATATATTTAAAACAATGTAAAGTTTAATATAACTAAAAGCTGAACAAAAATAATAAATAATTTTGATAAATATAAAGTAAAAAGATATGTCAAATTCAAATAAAATAGTAAGATAATTTTATGAAAGTGTAAATTTATTTGATAAGTAAAAAATACATATGATTTTGAATATTGTAGATAATTTATTTTGTTTGGGTCTTTTAAAGTTTTTTTTTTTTTTTTGAATTGAAACTTCAAAATAATAATAACAAGTAAGTTTTTTGAATTGAAATTCTTTTTTATGTAGACTCCTATCGAAGAATTGGGGTTAATTTTTTTATCAAAAAATAAGAATCAATAGCAAAACGCAAATAACAAACACAAGCAAATCAACATAAACAAAAAAAAAAAAAAATCCTTTTTGAGAGAAAAAAGAGAAAAAAAAGGGAAACCGAGAGGAAAAGAAGAAAACTAAAATTGAAATTGAATATTTAAATAAGAGTGAAATGATATGTTTTGAGTGAATCAAATTCACTTGTGATTCGTGCGCTGACATAGTTATGACTTGATCCATTTGTGTTAAAAAGTATTTTTTTTTATTTTTTTATTTTCTATTTATGTATATTTAAAATTTTAAATTGGGAACATTTTAATTATTGGATGGCATAAAAAATTAAAATCTAAAACATATGGGTTAGCGAAATTTTTTTATTTTTTTATTGCTATTCAACTTTTTTGTAAAATTTTTTAATTAAAAATTAAAAAAAGTGGAAGGTAAATAAATCAAATTGGGTTGATACATAAATATCTAAATTAATTTACTATTCTCATAAAATATATAATAAAAAAATTTAAAATTTAAAATCACAAAATATAAAAAAATATATTAAAGAAAAGCAGAATAAAAATTTATAAAAAATACCACATAAACATCCCCGGTAAGAGATGGCATGCCACCCTATCAACGGGTAACTGAACCTAACTGAGCCTATCAAGTAGCATTATGATATATTATCATCGGGTTTGAATACTAAAATTACTAGCGTCACAAGTTCAGATACAGATCTTAGTATACTCATACTTAAACCTCATTATAAATAATAAAATTTTAATATTATATAATATTTTTATTTATAAATTATCTTTATTAATATAATAATTCACTAAATTAATTCATTAAATATCTTGATAATGTTTTTTTAACTTTAATTTAATTTTATGAGCTAATTTTAATTTATTAATTTAAACTTTTTTAATAATATGTATTGAATTTGCTTTTAAATTTAACTTTGAAAATCAAACTTTAACTTAAAAATTAGATATTTAAAGGGTTTGGGTAATTACCGAGTATATTATATGGTAGGATTTGAATAGATATATATTTAGATAATTATCAAATAAGATATCTTAATAAATAATTGGGTTTGAATATCTTAAAAATAGCAATTATCCTACTCGTTAATATTCTTAATCTTATTAAATTTAAAATATTAATATATTAATTAAAGTATCAAATAATAATTTATCTTAAATTAGCAATGATATGCTCTTTTGAAAGTTTATATTATAAATTAAAAAAAAAAAAAACAAAACTACAAAAAAAAAACATAAATCCATATGTGAATTCAATTATACTTTCGTTAACATCCATTTCTTAAAAAATATATATATGTTTTTAATAATAATTTTAAATGGACTTCAAATTTAAAAAATATTAAAACTATTTATCAAATATAATATATTAAAAAATTTTAAAAAAGAATCCAATAATTTGATACATGACATACATTTGATATGGGTCCCTGCAAAATTATCTATTAAATATATTTTAAAAAAATTAAAAAAAAGTGACATACCATTGATATCTAGTAAGTGTTGTAAGAAAATAAAATTTTAAAAAATATTTATTAAATAATTTTAAAAAATTAAAATAGAAAAAAAATTGATGCAAAGAGAGTCACAAAAAACCAAATCTTTAAAAGATATTTATTAAATATTTTAAAAATAAAAAAATAAAAAAAAGCTTGCCCTATGTTTAAAATATTAAATATTTAAAAAATAGCAAAGTCAAAGTTACAGATTGGTAAAATTTTAGACCAGTGTAACACGCCACAAATGCTTTATTTTATCTTTGATGTATGATTGGTGGCAAATGATGTCCTTGACATCTCTGATTGATAGCAATTACATTCATATTGTTCCTGTTAGAGTCTTTAAAGATGCATAAAAATTCTTTCACAATTTTTTTTGAAATCGAAATTAAAGTCTGATATGATTTGACTAAAAATTGAACTGAAATGTTACGTTGGAATATTTTTTATATTTGTTATCGATTTTTATTTGTATTGATGGATTTTAATTAATTTTTAAAAGTAAGTGAAAATTCTCTCAATAATGATCTTAAAAAAAATTCACAAGCGGTGAAAATTTGAAAATTGAAAGTGATTCTTAAAATTTTATTAAAAATATTGGGAGGATGGTGATGATTACAATAGGGTGTTTAAATTTTGATTTTAATTAAATTAATTAAATTAATAGATTGATTATAAAAATAATTTTAATTAATTTTAGAAGTTGACTTTAAAAAATTTTGATTTTTAATTAATTCAAATTGAAAATCAAATTAATTAAATTAATTAAAATTTTAATCTAAATATAGAAAACCCAAATATTACGTGAAATGCACCATTTCAAGTTATAAATTATTAGAGTTATTAATTTAATATGTTAGTATTTGAATATTTTATTAGATAAATTTATTTAATTTATTTTAAATATAAAAATAAAAAATATAATTTAATTCTAATATTTTATTATTTATTTAATTAAATATTAATTAAATTAATTTTGATGATTAAAATTTTAAAATTAATAAATTCTGTTGAATTAAGAAAAATAAAATATAATAATTTAATTGGACATTAATCAAAATTGACGGAGCAAACGCCCGCAAATGCCCGGCTATCGGTCTTCTCAAGTCTATTTAAGTTCGAGGTTTCGTTCATCAAATGCACAACGTAAAGTACTTTGCCATTTTTCTTCTTTCCTTCTTCAACTCACATCCCTCTGCCGAGAGAAAGAAAAAGAAAGGCCTTTGGGAGAATGTGGAGGCTGAAGATAGGAGAAGGAGGCAATGACCCATACCTTTACAGCACTAACAATTTCTTGGGAAGACAGACATGGGAGTTTGATCCTAATGCAGGCACCCCTGAAGAGCGAGCTGAGGTTGAAGAAGCTCGCCAAAATTTCTACAACAATCGAAACCACGTCCAGCCCAGTTCTGACCTCCTCTGGCAAATGCAGGTATAAATTTTTTTTGTTTTTTTTTTACAAAGGGAGTGGAATAATCCTACCATCAAACTAATCTAGGCAAGAAAACACTCAAAATATAGTAGACTTTAAATGTCATCGGACTATAATTTTTTAGATACAAAAATATCATTGAGGATATGTGTGTGTATATATATATATATATATATAGCTATTGTTCTCAATATTCTTTTAAAATAATATATACTCAAATAAATTAATAAAAAAAATAGAAACATGTTATAATATTTTATTACATGAAATAAAAGTTATAAATTTTTATTGCATGAAATAAGAAATTCGAATTTTAACATTTGTAAATTTTTTTTTATTTTCATATTATGATTTTTTATGTAAAAAAAAAAAAGTACAAGTGATCATATAAAAATAAAGACATCTTCTCCTCTATTTTATTGTAACATGTTTTGCGAGTTATTGGGGCATACGGTTAAGTTATTAAGACATATATTACAAGTTATTATGACTTATGCACTAATTCATAGATATCTCAAATTTCATTTCAAGAAAATGTTCAAGGAAAATCTTTAAAAACTTTATTATTTTATTTATATTAATATGTGAGATAAATAAAAAATATTTATGAATCAATAATTTGTAATTTATTGATAAAATATTAAATTTTTCAAAAAAAAAATTTAATAGAACATTTGGAAGTTATATTGTTGCTTTTTTTTTCTACTTTTTTGTTATTCTTTTTGGGTCATGAGAGTGAGAGACCCTTAGCTTGTGTTGTTGTTTTTTTTTTTTTTTAATTAAAAATTTTGAGATATGATACTAAAAATTTAAAAATTTTAAAAAATGTTCAATATATTAAAAAAAGTTTTCCTAACGCTAAAAAGCTCAATTTTCCACTCGGTTTTCCCTTTCTAACTAAGTAATATAAAATATAAAAAAATAATTTATATATTATTTGCATGACAAACATTTCCCACATTCTATTCCTAATCCTACACCAACGCAAAATGAATAGATTAAGATTCATACAAAGAAGAAGAAAATGTTTAGATTGGGAGCATATCACCTATAATTTTTTTATTATAATATTATAATTATCTAATCAAAATAAAAATTTATGTAAGAGTTCATTATTTATAAATATGGATTTTATATAAAATTTTGATAAATTTCACATATTTTGACTTATAATTATTGATTAATTATACTATAATCATTGTAAGTGATATATGCATATTTACATCGATCATGATGAGTTAATGATCTTAAAAATTTTTTTAAAGCATTTTAATTATTTGTGTGTCACAGTCAACTTTATTAATCCAAACCATAATTGCAAACATAATTGTGTCTTTAATTATGGTGGTACACATTAATTTGGTCAGGAGAAATAGAAAGAAAGGGAGATCTCCTTTAAGATCTCAAATGAAAATAAATATTACTCACATTTTTTTTCCATCAATTATCTTTGATAAATGCAGTTTTTAAGAGAGAAGAACTTCAAGCAAACAATTCCCAAACCAAAGGTTGAGGATGGAGAGGAAGTCACATATGAAGCTACGACAGCTGCAGTGAAGAGGAGTGTTCACTTATTGTCAGCTCTACAATCAAAACACGGGCACTGGCCTGCTGAGAATGCTGGCCCCATGTTCTATTTCCCTCCTTTGGTGATTGCTCTTTGATTCCCTTTAATTCTACATCTTCCCCCGTTTCAGGGTTTTTAACTTTTCATACAATCTTTACAATTTATTTTATACCATCACAATTCACATGCGTGGATTTAATTGTATTAGTACAAATTTCCAACCAAAACAAAGTTGATATTAGATATCTCCATGATTTATCTATTTGGAGGTTTGACTTGATTTAAACCAAAACCTATATAAGATTTAAAGAAAAATAATTTTTATTTAATTTTAATTTTAAATATATTAAAATATTAATATAATTTGTTATAAATATTTAATAATAAATTTAATTAAATGGGCTTAATAGGAGTTGGGCCTAGCTTTTAGGGATACAAACTGAGCTTGACCCATAAACACTTTTGCTTGAAATCCAATCCTAAGTTTTAATTAATTAATTAACTCTTCAATTCTAAAAATATGTACTTTTTGCAATGCAGGTCATGTCTCTGTATATTACAGGGCATCTGAATACTGTATTCTCTGCAGAGCATCGCAAAGAAATTCTCCGTTACATTTACTGCCATCAGGTATCCATATCAATTACATTACTTTAATTTCATACATTTGGTTGATCCAGGTTACATCCATATCTATTTTACTACTAAATTTAATTATTTTTTTCTATGAAAAGGTTCATCTTTGTTCTTCAATTAAAAAATGAATACTACAATTACACTCTTGCTTCATATTCCAACGAATTGAATCTCTCAAGAATTTGTAATAAACTCTACTCCATTTACTAGAATTGAAAGTTATATCCACTACATCTTAGTTAATCTAAATAATTCTTGTATTCGTATTTGTTTATTTCATGTTAAACACTTGTAAAATATAAAATTATTATATCTTAATTCGTGTTAATACGTTAATATAAAATATATATTTTTTGTATAATACATATTTTTGGTTTTTGTCAAATCATATATGATTTTTATTAAAATTTTAAATTATGTTATTTTTATATTTTTTTTATGTTATGTTTAAGATTATTAAATCTAATCATAGTTTAAATACTAATTTTGGATTTTAAAAAAAGACTCGAATCCAGTTCTTTCATGTAGGACGATAAATGCACTTATTAGTGAACTAAATGCTGGGTTACTACTACATTTTAAGTACGTAGTCCCTTCGATGATGTGTTGCAGAACGAGGATGGTGGTTGGGGATTATACATAGGGGGTCACAGCATAATGTTTTGCACAGCTCTCAACTACATTTGTATGCGTTTACTGGGAGAAGGACTTGATGGTGGGCTCAATAATGCTTGTGAGAGAGGCCGAAAATGGATTCTTGATCGTGGAGGTGTAACAACCATACCCTCTTGGGGGAAGACATGGCTTGCAGTATGTCTATCGCTACATATTTAGCATCAAAGTTTTAAGAAAACATTCATCTCCAATCTTTACGATTAATTTAATTATTCTATAACCAATTAAAAAGTTGCATTCAAATGATTATGTATATTTCTTTTTGTTGTAGATTCTTGGTGTTTTTGAATGGTCAGGCTGCCATCCAATGCCCCCGGAGTTTTGGCTCTTTCCTACTTATTTTCCCATTCATCCAGGTTTGCAGATTTTTTTTTTCTTTTTGATTAATTTACTATGGATAATAGTGGATCCTCATTTCCGAGAGAATTATCCCAATTTCCATCATAAAATCTCTTTTTCTATGTATCAGTAGTAACTAGTAACGAGGGAATAAATGTCATTTTGAAATTGTTATGCATATAGCTAAATAAGAGACTTTTTAAATAAAAGAAAATAAAATTTTTTGAAGACCATATACATAATACATTTTTTATAAAAAAATCCTATTCTGAAAATAATAAAAATGATTACAAATGTTAAAATTTGAATTTAAAACTAATTAAATGATAATTTTTAAAAATAATTATATAAATTAATTGAGTTAAGTTTCAAATTTTATATGTAATACTTTTTTTAGGATAAAAATACATGATTCTATATGAATATATATATATATATATATTCTATATAAAAATTGTGAACTTGGAAGGGCATTTAAATTAATTTAATATAATGTTTCTCCGTCGTATGATAACCATGATCTATTAATGCAGCAAAAATGTTCTGTTACTTCCGGCTCACTTACATGCCTATGTCGTATTTGTACGGAAGAAGATTTGTGGGTCCAATCACACCTCTCATTTCACAGTTAAGACAAGAACTCCACATTGAACCCTATAATGAGATCGATTGGCCTAAAAAGCGCCATTTATGTGCCAAGGTATGTGATTAATCGTTCGTTCCATAATCTATATAAAATGTTTGATACAATGTGTTTTATTTTTCATAAGAAAATTGGACATTATTTTGGATTAATGTGTGAATGAAACACGCAGGAAGATCTCCACTATCCCCATACTGTGCTACAACTATTGCTTTGGGATAGTCTCTACATATTTTCAGAGCCTCTACTTAATCGTTGGCCCTTCAAGAAGTTGAGAGAAAAAGCTCTTAAGATTACAATGGATCACATTCATTATGAAGATGAAAGCAGTCGCTACATTACCATTGGGTGTGTGGAAAAGGTGATGCATTTATCAGTTAAAATTTGAATAATATATAATATTTTTAAAAAATTTTTGAAGCTGTCAAAATTTGAATTATTGAAACTAAATGTCTAGTATTTCATCGGCAGGCCACAAGGCTATTGGCAAATCTAAATACTATTTGTTAGAATATAATTATGCTTATTTAATTAAGACTTAAATATTATATTATATTATAATATTTGCCACTTGGATTGAGCAGCCCTTGTGCATGCTTGCTTGTTGGGTTGAAGATCCAAATGGAATTTATTTTAAGAAGCATCTTGCTAGGGTTGCTGACTATGTGTGGGTTGGAGAAGATGGAATAAAGATGCAGGTTGGTTCATAACTTTCCGCATTTGCAATCTTTTTTTCTATCTCATATTACGATCTCCTTTAAACCAAAAGAAAAAAAAATGTCGAAGTTAAAGATTTTACCAAGTAATTTTTTGCTAGACTTGAGTTTTTAATTATTAGCTAATTAAGGTATTTGTCATATTCACCTGCAGAGTTTTGGAAGTCAAGTTTGGGATGCTAGTTTAGTTCTCCAAGCTTTGCTTGCTAGTAATTTATCTGATGAAATTGGACCTGCACTAGTGAGAGGGCACAACTTCCTGAAGAACTCACAGGTTCCTAAAAGTTTAATTTCGATTCACCACAATGAAAGTTGAGATTATTTATTTTCTCCATTGTACTTGGAATTGATGGTATAATATTTCTTGAAATTTAAGGTTAGGGATAATCCTCCAGGTGATTTTAAAAGAAGGTTTAGACATATTTCTAAAGGAGGATGGACTTTCTCTGATCGAGATCATGGATGGCAAGTCTCTGATTGTACAGCAGAAAGTTTGAAGGTAATTTTGTTTTCTTAAATTAAACGCAGCATTTTTATTTTGAATATTTCTGAAAAATGTGTTCATTGTTTTGCAGTGTTGCCTATATTTTGCAATGATGCCACCAGAAATGGTTGAAGAGAAAATGGAAACAGAGCAATTTTATGATTCTGTCAATCTTATTCTATCTGTACAGGTAACAATAGAATGTAATACTAGTAATGTCATAACTAGATTAAGGTTTACAGTTTACTCGTATCCTCTGGGAAATATACAATATCTAAGTTAAGAGCAATTGCTCTGTAGAAGCTTAGAGAAACAGATTCATGTCAAAGAATGTTAATTTCCATGGGGACATGCACTTTCAATTAATTGAAGAATGACTGTAAAATTAATTTCCTATAATAATGCATGTTTTGATTTGTTCTTACAAATGTTTGCAGAGTAAAAATGGTGGTTTATCAGCTTGGGAACCAGCAGGAGGTGGATTCTGGTGGGAGGTAACTATTTCAAAGATTGCTACCCTTTGAAAATTTTCTACATTTGCCATCAATTAATAAGCACTTTTGTTCCTCAATTATATTCTTAGTGGATCAATCCAGTCGAGTTTCTTGAGGATCTTGTCAAAGAATATGAGTAAGAGCCTTATCTTTTTCCTTAAAGTTCATTAGTTATTCAATATAATTCGAAACCGATTTATTTTAGACTAATAAATATAAAAAAAATGTAAAATCTAGGCATGCAGAGTGCACTTCATCCGCAATCCAGGCACTAGTTCTTTTCAAGAAGTTATATCCCGAGCATAGAAAAGGAGAGATTGAAATTTTCGTAAGGAAAGCTGCACAGTTCCTTGAAGACATACAACACCCTGATGGTTCATGGTAATTAATAAGTCCCTGATTTATTTTCTTCAAAACATTGATGGAGTTCATCAATATCATGACAAGCATTCCTATATATAGGTATGGAAATTGGGGAATTTGCTTCTTTTATGGAACATGGTTTGCACTTCGAGGTTTGAATGCTGCTGGCAAGACCTACAAAAATTGCCTGGCTATTCGCAAAGGAGTTGATTTTTTGCTTAAAACACAAAGAGATGATGGTGGTTGGGCGGAGAGCTACGCTTCTTGTCCCAGAAGGGTAATAATAATCAATATACCTTTTCTTTTCTTTTTTTATTAGAATAATCAAACTGGATTTGCTAATTCTCTTCAAAAATCAAATAAAAAGATTTATTATATGGTATATAGTTTTTTTTCCTTGTGGATACAGGTATATACACCTCTTGAAGGAAATCAATCAAATTTGGTAAACACTGCACATGCTTTAATGGGTTTAATTATTGGTGGCCAGGTATGCTTACAATTAATAATGAATCTCTAATTAATATATAGTTTAACTTAATTAATTTATATAGTAATTTTTAAGAACTGATATCTAATAGTATTTGTAATTTTTTTTAATACTTAGATTACGATTTCTTATGTAAAAAATAATGATTTTATAATTCTCATAAACCCCCCCCCCAAAAAAAAAGGAAATTAAACAAAGAAAAAAAATTATATTTTACAATTTCTTGCTATGTTGATTTTTTAATCAGTATATATAATATATATACATGCTGTTGTTTGTAACAGGCTGAGAGGGATCCTACACCTCTTCATCGTGCTGCCAAATTGTTGATAAATTCTCAATTGCAAAAGGGTGATTTTCCCCAACAGGTAACTTTCCTTACATGCAATTGAAAGAGTTAAAATGTAAACAAAAATAAGGTTACCTGGATACTAACAATTTTCTATGCACTAAAAAAAAAAATACAATTATTTGCTTATAATGGAATATATTCAAATGAAAAATGGCAGGGATTGGCAGGAGTTTTCATGAGGAACTGCATGTTGCACTATGCATTATACAGGAATATTTTCCCACTGTGGGCTCTGGCCGAGTATCGCAAGCATGTTTGGCCTTCAAAATGCATTTGAATTGAAAGGAGGATTATACATAAATAAGCATCTCTAGCGGGATTTAAAGAAAATTTTATATTTTCTTCTACTACTGCAGCTGCTACTGCTATAAACTCAATAATTTTTGAGATAGTTGTTGATCGCTACTTTCTCATTTATTAGAAGAATTTTTTACGTATATTTTTCTTAATGAACTTTAAGCAATTTTATTATATATTATTCCAAGGAAAAGAATTAATTACCATAAACTAATAATGGTAGGGAAATTAGTTCGACTCAAAAGCCCTACAGCAATTAATTGAATGCTGGTGGGACGTTCTTGAATTAATTGGTCATTTAAAATACTGATTTTGATTCCTTGGGAAAACAATGTTAATTTGACTTGGTTTCGAAATATCGTTGATATTGTTTTTCTTAATTTGCAACGCTTTAATTACTTTTTATCAGCTTCTTCACCCATTATTTTGTTTATTGGGTCTCATGCGATATGCGTTTAAATAATTATTATTTAACTTTTACATTTCTTTAATTTACTTTTTATATATTAATCAATTTGTACATTTAAGAAAAATCAGTAAACATTTTATTAACCTATTTTAAATAAACATTGTTTACATTTAAATTATCTTAAGCCTTTATTAAAGTATTAAGATATTTCTAACCTATTTTATGTTAAATCATATGAATTTTACAATTATTCTCATATGTTTATATTAACAAAATTTTTTAATTTTTATTTTAAAATATCTATTATTTTATGTTACTAATTTAATTATTTATGTTATAAAAATATCTTTTTATACTTGTTATTACCTTTCCTTATATTTAGAATTACTTTTACTATTTTTTAAAGTGTTATAACACTTTTAACCCATTTAAAGTCACATGACACAAATTTTATGATTAATATCATTTATTTATGTTAACAATTTTTTTATTTTAAAATATTAATTTTTTTTACATTATCAACTTAATTATTTGTATTATAATAATATCCTTTTACGCTTATTATTACTTTCAATTATATTTAAGATTATTTTACTATTTTTAGGGTATTACGACATTTCAAACCCATTTGACATCAAATAATATGAATTTTACAATTATTCTTACATGTTTGTATTAACAAATTTTTTGTTTAAAAATTTTTAGTTTAAAATATCAATTCTTTAATATTGTCAATTTAATTATTTATGTTATAATAATATATTTTTACGCTTGTTGTTGCTTTCATTAATTTTAGAATTATTTTTATTTTTTCTTATTGTGTTACAACACTTCTAACCTTTTTTTTTTTTACGTTAAATGATACTAATTTTATTATTATTCTCACTTGGTTAAGTTAACATTTTTTTTTAATTTAAAATATCAATTCTTTTACATCATCAATTTAATTATTTATGATACAATAGTACTTTTTTACGTTTATACTTACCTTTTATTAGGTTCAGAATTTTCGTAATCATTTTTAAGGTGTTATAACATTTCTAACTCATTTTACATGAAATGATACGAATTTTATGATTTTTCTCATTGATTTATGTTAATATTTTTTATTTAGATTTTTAAAAAATATTGATTATTTTATGTTGCTAACTTAATTATTTACGTTACAGTAATATCTTTTTACTCTTATTGTTATCTTCCATTATATTTACAATTAATTTACTCTTTATTATGGTATTATGATACTTCTAACTCATTTTACGTCAAATAATACAAATTTTACAATTATTGACAACTATTTAGGTTAATAATTATTTTGTGATTTAGCATTTTTTTATTTTAAAATATAAGTTCTTTTTACATTGTCAACTTAATTATTTACGTTACTATAACATTTTTTTACATATGTTTTTATCTTTCATTAAGTTTAGAATTATCTTAACACTGTACATTGTTAATGACCATCTAAATTTAATACTGTATATTGTTAAATACAATCAATACCATACTACGTACAGAAACATCATTCAACACATCAATCAACAATGTACTAAGACACACCCTTCAACAAACCACTCAGAAACACCATTTAGCAAATCATTCAGCATACGATTTAGCCCCATAATATCATACAATACCATTCAGTAATGCAATATCAGACAACAAGATTCAATAAACCATTTTGCATACGATTCAACCCCCCAATATCATACAATATCATTCAACAAAAAAATCAGACAACAAGGTTTAGCAAACCATAATATTTAGGACGTACTACATAAAAGCAGCATATATGCAATGAAAGGTGCTTGGATGACTATACTTACAATGAAGTTAATGAAATATATAAAAGCATATGTAAATATTAAGGAACTGAAAAAAAAAAAATCTCTATCGAATATTATAAATAATACAGTAAACTAAAAAAAAAGATTTACCAATAAAAAGAGAGGTGTGCACTATTGATTTGTTGAAAGTCAATGGCGATGATAGGGATAAAGAAACCAATGGTCTGACAGAAATGTGTTTAAGGGTTTGGTTTGGTTGAATAACGTAACTTTTAATCATTCTGTGTACTAGCAGTTTGTGATTTCGATATTCAAGTTAGGGAAATGAATATATAAATTATTATTGAAGGCATTTTTCTAGAAACAACGCCTTTAATAATCACTTTAAAATTTTATTGGAGATTATTGAAGGTTTTTTTTTTACAAAAAAATGCCTTTAGTAATCCAAAAAATAATTTTCCAATGAAATTATTCAAGTTGTTTATCTTCAAAAAACACCTTTGATAATTCTTAAAAATTATTGAAGGCGTTTTGAGTAAAAAATCACATTCACTAATATGCCTGTGATAAGGATGGAAAGAATTATTGATGGTTTATTATATAGCAAACGTCTTTAATAGTTATGGACTTCAAAACTTTATAACAAATTATTGAACCCGTTTTATAATAAAAGATTTTAATAACCCCAAAATTTTTTTAAAAGAAATTATTGAAGGCAGTTGTTATTAGCAAATGCCTTCACTAATTATCTACAAATTTAAAAAAAATTATTAAAGGTATTTTTCTTAAATATACGCCTTTAATAACCATGTTAAAATTTGTATGGTGGTATATTGAAGGTATTTTACAGTAGAAGACACATTTAATAATCCCAACAAATTTTAGAAGAAAATTATTGAAGGCATTTATTATAAAAAAATACCTTCAATTTGTATAAAGATAATTTAAGAGGAATTATTGAAGGCATTTGTCAGTAGAAGATGCCTTTAATAATTCTAAAATTTTTTTTAGAGGAAAATTATTAAAGGCATGTGTTATTAACAAACGCCTTCAGTAATTATGTACTAAGTTTAAAGGAATTATTAAAGGCATTATTATGGAATAAATGCCTTCTATAACTATAATAGTATATTGAAGGCATTTTTCAGTAAAAGATGCTTTTAATAATCTTAAAAATTTTTTAAAGAAAATTATTGACGACGGTTGTTATTTGCAAATGCCTTCACTAATTATATATAAAATTTAAAAAAAATTATTAAAGGTATTTTTTTTAATATATGCCTTCAATTACCGTGTTAAAATTTATGTAGCTATATATTGAAGGCGTTTTGCAGTAGAAGACACCTTTAATAATCTCAATAAATTTTATAAGGTGTTTATTATCAAGAAATGCCTTCAATATTTATGTAGATAATTTAAATGGAATTATTGAAGGGCTTTGTCAGTAGAAGATGCTTTTAATAATCCTAAAATTTTTAAAGAAAAATTATTGAAGGCAATTTTATGGAATAAATACATTTTATAACTGTAGTGATATATTGAAGGCATTTTCTAGTAAAAGACGCCTTTAATAATCCAAAAATTTTTTAGAGAAAAATTATTGAAGGTGTTTTTATAGAATAAATGCCTTTTATAACTATAATGGTATATTGAAGGTATTTTCCAACAGAAGACGCCTTTAATAATCCCAAAATTTTTAAACGAAAATTATTGAAGGCGGTTGTTATAAAAAATACCTTTAATGATTATGTAAATAATGAAATGTACTTAGTGAAGGCAGTTTTCTAAAATAAACACCTTCACTAACCATTAAAAATTTTAAGTTCTCGATTATTGAAGGCGTTTTTCACTAAAAGACATCTTTAATAAATTTTTTCAAAAAATAAAACAAATTAGTTAAGGTATTTTTCTAGAATAAAAGCTTTCAATAACCCCTTAAAATTTAAGTTGTGTAATATTAAAAGCATTTTCAATAGAGGATGCCTTTAATAATCTCAAACAATTTTTAAAAGAAAATTATTAAAGGTATTTTTTGTAGAAAACTATCTTCACTGATATTGTAAGATAAAAATAAAAGAGTTATTGAAGGCATATTATGTAAAAAATACCTTCAATAAATACACAAAAAATTTAGATGAAATTAGTGATAGCTTTTTTTATGGCGTAAACACCTTTAATAATCCCAAACAATTCTACTATAACTCTGTTAAAGGCGTCTATAATATATTCATAAAATATTTAGGATGAAATTATTATAGGCATTTTTCTTAGTAAACATCTTTCATAATCCGATCTAATAAAAATCTTCTCAAACTTAGCGCATCCAATCACCAACTGCAAGCTTCATCTTTATTATTATACTATTTTTTTTTTCAGATCAAGTACAATTTACTTTCCTTTTCCTTCAACTTTTAGTATTCGAGCATTGTCTTTTAGAACTCTATTTCAAGTATTCATTACTTATTTACTTTAGCTTTTACTTCATTCGACTATTCCTTCAGCTTTTGCAATTCATGATTTTCTTTTTGGTGTAAACAATTTTTTCCAAAACCTAACTTATTTCACCTTATTTCAATCCCAACTACAAATACTCTAGGGTACTATCTACGTTAGCAGCAGAGTTTTAACATTCATAATATTTGGTAGCTGATAAATTACTTCATAATAAAGAAGTTCCTCGTTTTATGTAAGTAACTGATCTTGTTTTGATTTTTAAACATAGTAAACTTAAGTATTAGACATTTGATTGTTTTCACTAATAATTATCTACAATACATTTAGTTTGATAATGTAACAAGTACTAATTGGATAAGAGTTAGATGCAAAAGTCAAGATTAAGTTAAGATTAAGTCAAGAGTATAGAGATGAAGTAAATTTTTTTTTTTAATTTTGCATTTGAGAATACAAGTGAAGAAAATATGATATTATGCCCAT